GATTCTACATGCCCTGGGGGCTGGGGGCCAGGGAGGGGTTGGTTCGGAGCACAGGTTCCGGAGTCAGATGGACATCTGGGCAAGTCCCACCTGCGTGAGTCCGGGCTCCTTTGGGCAGTTTGCTCACCCCTCCAGAGCCGAGGTTCGCCAGGGAAAGGAGGATGGTAGCAGAACCCAGCCCAGCGGGTGCCGAGAGGTCCTGTGAGGCGCCCGCTGGCCCCTGGCAGGCAGCAGCGTTCGTGATATCAGCCATCAGGATCAGCGTGTCCACTATCTGCCCATCAAGTGCCCTGGTCACTTGGACTGAGGAGCCTGTCCAAGGTACCGAGTCACTCTGAACCGCGGCGGCTCAGAACAGGGGCACAGCCCGTTCTGCTCATAGACTATGATGTGGGCAGGCTGGGGTCTGCTCTCCTTGGGGATCGGCTGCTGCCTCTGCAAGGCTGGGAGCCAGAAGCACAGCCCCCAGGTGGGGCCCATGACTGGGACCCCTGCACCCGGCTTTTCCATGAGGCCAGGGCTTCCAAACAGCCCAGTGGCTCCCAGTTCCAAGCCTGAAGGAGCCATGAGAGGTCCCACCCCCTGGCCAGTCACAGCACAGAGTCCATCACACTCTGCTGCTGGAGGCAGGCGCAGACCCCTACCCAAACCCCCCTCCCGGTGCAGAGTGTCAGGTAAGGTGAGCATGGGGGTGTGAGTGTGGGGGGTCATTTTTAGGAAACATGATTTGCCACAAAAGCGCACCAGAGTAAAGAGAGGGGACTAAACCTGCCTCATGCCAGACCAGCGAGCAAAGGGCCCCATAGCCGCCGCAGCGCCGCGCCTGGACGGGGATCCCGGCGGGAACTCAGGACAGAGCAGGATGCCCGCCGTCAAACCATCAGCTCCTGCAGCCACCCACCCACCTCCACCTCCGGGCACCCTGAGGACACTCAGGGCAGGAAACACAGGATGCCGGCCCCGGAGAGCCCAGGCGGGGTCAGAGGAACAGTTTCAGTGAGCTCAGGCTCTCTCATCTTCCCATACATAGAAAACTTTACATCTCTTGAATTAGCATCAGTCTTTCGAAGCTCCAACTACCCAGTCATTTGTTATAAAAACTCCTATGTGTGTGTGTGCTAAATCACTTTAGTTGTGTCTGACTCTTTGTGACCCCACGGACTGCAGCCCGCCAGGCTCCTCGGTCCATGGGATTCTCCAGGCAAAAATACTGGAGTGGGTTGCCATGCTCTCCTCCAGGGAATCTTCCTGACCCAGGGATCAAACCTGCGTCTCCTGCATTGCAGGCGGATTCTTTACCATTTGAACCACCCGGGAAGCCCTTCACAGCAAAGACCCCGTTCGAAATCGTTACCTCATTGTCTTGGCAGCCATTTCATGAATCATCAGGGGACTTTAACCTGGTTGATACTTCAAAAACTTCATCAGGAAAATATAAACAAAGTTTACATATTTGGCAAAAAAAAGACACGCGAACGATTTTCTCTCACTATTGTTGATGAACTGTTTGAAGCAGATCATCCAAATGAAGCATCAGTTAAGACAAAACATTTAGTAAGAAACTGAAGACTCAGCAGATCCGGAACAAGAAGTCTGTCATCACTGTTGATTCAAGAGCAACCAGGAGCGAAACCCCTCGGGTCTGTCATCCTGGCTCATGTCAGCAGGCGGTCCAAAGCTCTGCTCCATCTCACTGCTCCGGGGTCCAGGCACCCCGCCTGTCTTCCGAGGACCCTCCTGCAGAGCTGGGGGGCCCAAGGAGGGAGATCAAAGGGGCAGAGTTCTGGGGACGTCTGCCCTGGGCGAGAGGCTCTAAGAGGCTGAGGAAATGGGGGCCGTGGCATTACCAAGAAGGACTTGAAGACCCAGGTGGAGAAGAAGAAGGGTCCCTGATGGCCCAGGGGTCACGGGCAGCACCCACTTGCAGGTGCCGTGCAGCAGGGGCGTGGGGGAGCGAGGTCTGGAGGATGGGTTCCCGTCTGGGTGACACATGGGGGGAAAAGAAAGGAGGGGTGTGGGGTGATGGGGACCAGGACCAGAGCCCTGAAGCTCAGGGACACGAGAAGGGGTTTAATCGAAGGACCAGGGACAGAAAGAGCCCCCCTTTCTCCACTCCTCTATGTCCTTTGACTGAGTGACATGCTCGCAGTTCCCTGGTGAATTTTTTTAAGAGAAGATGCAGGTGAGGTTTACTTTTTTTCCTCTACTCTTCACCCATTTCTCCCACCTCCACCCCCTGCCTCTGGCAACCGCCATTCGGTGGTTAGTTTCCTGCTAATGTTTCACAGCTTTGAAGTCACACTGAGTTAACCTTAGTGATGCTAGTGGCATTTAAAATGAAAGTGAAATGCGCAAAAATTAAAGGAAGCTATCGTTTAAAAGAAATCTTAGTCTATTATATTTTTACAGCATCCATATATGCAGCCATCTAAAAATTATTGATTGTTTCTGCAGCTGGGAAAAGGAGAAAGCATTTCAAATGCAGTCCATGCACAAAGATAAACCAGCTTTTCTCAAACTTATCTTTCTCCTGAGGCCTTGTCTGATTAGACCCTGGGTGCCTTGCCCCTCCTATGACAAACTGATTGATAAGTGACAGATGTGAATCTAGATGTAGATATAATCAGAGATTATCTATCCATCTTCAACTATAAATCATTTAATTTTCTTAGATTCAAAATCACGATTACGTGAACTAAAAGGTAAGTTCCCAAATTCTTGGGTGAAAAGCAAAAATGTCTAGAGATTTTTCTACAGGGTGTTGGAGAATGTGTGTCTTTCTAAGCACTAAGTTATGTATAATTTAAGCTTTTAGTCAATATCCCTTTAGTGATTAACTTGTAACAAAGTCAATAGCAGAACCAAGATGCTGGATCCTGTCCTTGGGGACCAGGCTGTCCAGACTCAGAAGCTGGCGGGATGGGAGTAAGGATTCCCTGGGTGGGTCACTGAGGGTAGTAATGAGTGGCCCCCTCACGTCCCCTTCGTGGTGATCGGGAGAGTCAGCCTAAGAAGCCCAGCCTCTCAGGACCCTGTGCCTCTGGTGGCACCACGTCAGAGCCGTCCAGCGCTTCATCAAGCCAGCTGCTCCCGGGCTATAAGGCTCCTGGATCCTCCAGGGAATCTGGTGGGTATGAACCCATTGCTACAACTACTTTCCCGGTAAAAGCATTCCTCGGTCAAGAGGAGGTTCTATGGGAAGCCAGGATGACAAGTCCTTCTGTGAGCGCATGGACTGTAATGATGGTGGAGGTGCTTTGGGCAGGCAGGGGGATTGATATCTGAGGGACTCATTTATTCAAGAGGAGAAAGTGCAGCCCCAGTAATGGAGAGGATCGTGATCAGCCTGGAAAGGCGCTGCAGTGGGGACAGAGCCACCGCTCAGGGCAGCAGCTACACCACGGTGACCCGCATGTTGCTAAACGCACAGGAGTCCCACCCCGGCATCACGGTCTCTCTGCAGGCAGGACCACTGAGCGAGGATCCGGGGAGGGACAGGGCTGACGGCCGCAGGCCCGCCTGGGGTTGGAAGCTCTTTGTGAGGCCCACAGGGCATCAGTGCCCGCAGGTGCTTTGGTGAACTATCACCCATCATGCCCGCCACTGGCACTGTGTCAACCCCAGCCCACAGAGTGGCCTGTTTCCTGCCTTGGGCTGGAATGACAGGTTCTAGAACTGTCGTCTGACCAGCCTCAAGCTCCCCCACAGAGAGACCCTCCCTCCTCTGGGGCTTTCGGGGGTCTCTCCTGACCTGGGCTGTGATGGGCCAAGGGCTGCTCATGTCTGGAGCCAGTAGCTGCACCTCCTAGGTGGTGAGCAGGGCAGTGAGAGGCAGACTGTAGGCAGAGAGGGTCCAGAAAGGGCATGGGTTCCCTCCCACCCCCAGACCGGCTCAGGCCCCGGCTAGGCTGCAGTCATCAATTTTAAATCAAACACTGCCAGGCACATCCAGTGTCTTACTGGGGGATCAGACGGCAGTTTACAGAGGGTAATCAGCTGCAGATATTTGTGTGAAGAACATGGAAACAGCAAGGGTAGGGAGCAGCCATCCCCGACACCCCACACCCCAGGCTCAGAGAAGCATCTTTGGAACGTGCCTCTCATGAGTGCAGAGATCCAGACCAGCTGGCTGAGCAAACGCCAGAGAAGCCAACGGGAGCGGCTGTACAGCCACCCTCTAGGGTGCCAGGCAGTCCCCGTGGCCACGTCTCCTGAGATGCCCTCTGCTCAAACCCACCCACAGATGTCGCGTTGGGGACGCTCTGGCTGCCCAGCTCTCGGGGGCTGGTGCTCAGGTGGTTGCCCCCAGCCCCTCCCCAGAGCCCGAAGCAAGCAGCTGGTTTGGCCGATGGATCCTTGCTGCTGATGGCAGGAGAGGGTCCAGCTTCCTGGAAATCCCAGGGGTTCCCCAGGAGCTCCTACAGCCCACCTTTCCCAGTTCCCTCCTAACACGTTTGGCAAAGTATTCTTTCTCAGGAATTGTCTGATGAGAAAGAAGTTATGTGGGAGACATTGCCAGGGTTGTGCTGGGGACAAAGATGGGATATCTGAATAGACACTTCATAAACCTGGAATCAATAAACAGATGTTCAATAATTCACAGAATGTGATTAATTAGCAGGTTTTATCAAATATGATTCCACCCGGGACTGGTAGCTTGAAAAGCAAGACTTCCTTTTGAGTAGTACTTTCATAGCCCTTACAGGCAATCACAGATGCTTTTATGAATCTTTTGAAATAGAGTATCTTAAAGTAAAAGTGTTAGTCGCTCAGTCATGTCTGACTCTTTGTGACCCCATGGACTGCGCCCACCAGGCTCCTCTGTCCCTGCGATTCTCCAGGCAAGAACACTGGAGTGGGCTGCCATTTCCTTCTCCAGATCTTCCCGGCCTAGGGATCGAACCTGGGTGTCCTGCATTGTAGGTGGGTTTTCTACCATCTGAGCTACCAGGGAAGCCACAATTTTTGTTGCTTAAGATTGGAAGTCTAAGCCACAAAAATACACTGGTTTAAAATATTTATTAATTCAAAAAAATTAAAAATTTTTTTATACAAAGATGGTGAGAAAAATCTCATGCAAACTCTGGGCATACAAGAAAAATAACTCAAATATCCATAAGATGATTTTGTACAAAATAATTCTTTTTTAAGGAGGACCTCCCACAGACAGCGCAGCCCCCTTCTCCAGGCCCAACACTCCCCGAGGGACAGGGTGGGCGGTCACCCTTCGAACTGTAGGTGGTCCGTGGTCCGTGTGTCTGATGGTCACAGGTGTTACTGCAATGATGAACAACCTATGCTACTACTCAGGAAACTAGACCGAGACCTGGGACCCGAGTCAGGATGCCCCAACACCATGGAACTCCTGAGGGATGGAAGGAACTCACAAAGGTTTCCAGAAAATTTTCGGATAATTGGCTCGAGTGATGAAAACGCCTTGAGGGGGTCAGAGTCAGTGCCTCTTTCTGCTGAGGTGCAAACCTGCGGCAGACTTAGAATTTGTCTATATTACAAGTAATCTGCGTAAGTAAAACAATTAAGGGAGTGACATATGGCAATAAGAAATGCATCAAACTCGGAAGGCTGTACCAAAGGGAGCTTCAATATGAAACAGTAATCCTGGGAGACCGAAGCCCATGGCCCGTGGGCTCCCAACCCAGGCGGGCGGGGCCACCCCCAAGCCGCCTCCACCTCCTCCCTGGACGCTCGGACGCTCAGCCTGATCGCGTCCTCACACTCTCATCTCATCTTCCGGAGCCTGAGTCTGTTTTCCTTGTCCCGCTTCTTGAGAATAAGGATGAACTGGTTGAAAAAATGTTCCTGGTCCTTCCGCTTTTGGACGAGTCGAAACCTCTGATCCCGGCCGTACTTCTCAGCAAACTCCTTAAATGTGGTTCTGGAAGATAAAAGGCATCCTGAGGGCCTTCCTGGAGGAGAGCGGCTCCCGGGGCTCTGAGCACCTCCTCCCTGAGCCCAGGGTCTCAGGAGCAGGACCCTCGGCAGGTGGATGGGCAGAGGGAATGGCTACTGGGCCTCCAACGCCAGCTGCTTGCTCCCTGCACTGGGCGTCACTTCCCATGGGCCCAGCTGATGCCTGAGCCACGTTAACTCGCACAGCTGCCTGTCTCTGCATCTAGCCGCCCTCTGGACACGAGCCTGGCCTCACCTGCCTCCTGGGCCTCATCTCACGCTGAGCCCCCGGCGCCCACCGTCACTGCTCCGGCCGCACGGGTCTGCTTGCTGCCCCTGCTCTCACTGAGCTCCTTCTTGCCTTGGGCTTCGCATATGCTGTTCCCTCCACCCGACACACCCTTCCCTCCTCTCCCCACTCATCCTTTAGAGCTCCCTCCCCACTAGAAGTGAGAAGCAGAACATTTCCTGCCATCTCAGTAAACCAAGGCTGTGACAGTCACCAGCGGCTGCAGCCACCCCAGACAGTGAGCTCAGAAGAGAACAAGCCCCCGCCAGCTGGCAGCCATCAGGCTGCAGCCACTCCCCATGGCGAGCCCTGGGAAGCTCGGGATGTGGAAACACAGGACCCTGGCCCCAGACAGCTGAGGTGCAGATCAAAGGAATGGCTTCTGGGAGCCCAGACTCTCGCATCTTCCCTTTCACGGCACCCTCTCATGGCCCTCACCACGGATGTCATCTTGAAGAGCCTCAGTCATGCAATACAACTCGCCTCTCCCTACTCCCATGGAAGCACATTACCTGCCTTGTTCCTATGGAGCCTCTTGACAGTCTAAGTCCAGCAGCATGTGCTTACCCCCTGAGTGCTGACTCACTGAACCCGTGGTCGACAGGCCAGGGAGGCGCCCATAAGGAGCTCAGAGATGCCAGCCAGGCCAGGCCTGAGGGGGCAGGGCAGCTCACGGGGCAGGAGTGGATGCAGCCTTGCATGGACAAGTGGAACCTCGGCCAGGACCTGTTCCCCAGAGCTGCCTCTCCTTCCAGCTGCGCGACTGAAGCCAAGGGCTGTGACAGCTCCAGGGGGCAGGTGTCCTGGGGAGCCGGGTGCCTGGACATTTCCCATCTGCCTCCTACCTGGGGCTCCTGCAAGGCCCGTAGCCAGAGCTGCAGGAGGGGCCCAGAGTGTGTGAGAAACCGATGCACCCTGCGCCTGGGGAGACCTCTTCCTCCAGTTTCTCTTTGCGGACAATTTTATTTTTTGTTGCAGACATTTCATTTTTGCATTGAATTATTGGAGAAGGAAATGGCAACCTACTCCAGTATTCTTGCCTGGAAAATCCCATAGATGGAGGAGCCTGGTAGGCTACGGTCCATGGGATCGCAAAAAGTCGGACATGACCGAGCAGCTTCACTCACTCACTCATTATAACTTAATGTGCTGTGCGTAGTCTATCAGCCATGTCCAGCGTTTTGGGGCCCCTTTGACTGTGTAGCCCACCAGTCTCCTCTGTTCATAGGGATTCTCCAGGCAAGAATGCTGGAATGGGTTACCACACCCTCTTCCAGGGGATCTTCCCAACCCAGGAATCGCGCCCAGGTCTCCCACATTGCAGGCAGATTCTTTACCTTTAGGACGTGAATAACAAGATTATGCTGACATGGCTGTTAGGAGGCAAGACCAATAATTAGTAGACCTTTGTTGGCTTCCCCAGTGGCTCAGGAGCTAAAAATTCTGCCTGCAATATAGCAGGCACAGCAGGCGCGGGTCAGGAGAATGCCCTGGAGAGGAAATGGCAGCCCACTCCAGTATTCCTGCCTGGGAAATCCCACGGACAGAGACGGGCTACAGCCCATGGGGTGGCAAAGAGTCAGACGTGACTAAGCTGCAACAACTGTAACTGTGTCGTCACCAAACAAGGTGTCTCACACCCGCCTCAAGCACTGCTCTTGTCCAGGTGTGCTCCGGAACCCCACTTGCTCCCAGGCTTCGTAGAGAGAAAGCACCTCTCTCTGGCTGCCAACATTCTCCCTTCTTTCTTTCCCTCCCTCCCTCCTTCTCTCCCTCCATCCCTTCCACGATTTCACAACCGCCTTGTGCAGGACTAACACACACTTATTTGCACTTCCCTCACCCATCTGCGTGAGAAAAGTGAGGTGCTGAATCATGGGGTGCTCATCATCTTGGGGGTGTTAGAGGGAGTCTGAGCATTTTCAATAGGGGCTGGGCAGAGACCCTTCTAGAGAGATCCTATTCTGGGCACCTCTGAAAAGAAGCATCCCCGAAAAGAGAAAAGAATCAAAACTCTGTGACCTGTTAGCCGTCTCGAGGGGGAAGCCTGCCTTACTGCTGACCCTGGCAGACCGTCCAGTGAGCCTGGGGAGGGTCTCTGAGTAACTAACACTGCGGTTTCCTTTCCCCAGGGACGTGGCTGCCCACAGTTGAAGGAGGTGGCTGATCCGGCCAGAGTGCGGTCCCACAGCCGGAGGTTTCCCCAAGGCTCCTCTCCTTGTCCCCAGGCCCTGAGAGCTGGGCAGTCCCTGGACTATCCCTGTGGTCAGGATGGAAGCCAGGATGATGCGAGGTGTTGCTGAGGGTCCTCAGGACGCCTGTGCTGGGCCAGAGGGCAGCAGTGAGAACTGCCTGCTGTCACTAGGACACCTGCGAACGGCAGGAAGAGAATGTGAAGAGGATCTGGAAAGGGTTTGAAACATCCCGGAATTGGCTGCCTTTGAAACACAAGCCAGCTTTATAATTACAAAAGTATTATATGCCCAGAGTACACTTCTAAAAAGTGGCAGGCAATTAGATCTAATTTCAATGAAGAGTATATTCATTTATACCACTGATTTTCCTTCTGTCTGTGTGTAAACTTCTTCCTAATTGTCGAATACAGTCTGAATATTTCTTCTTTGCATTCATGATATGTTCACGGGAGTGGGGGATACTGTGGCTTACGGTTAACATTTTAGCAGTGGATGGACCGAGATCATGAGCTAACTGTCCTTGACGCCAGCGCAGTGGTAAGGATAAGACTCTTCAGGACCTGCCAGGCACCTCACGTCTTGTCTCCCCACACACCGTCCTGCTAGAGGCCGGTGAAGCAGGGCAACTATAGCCCTCAGATGGAGACAGCCGAGCTGTGAAGGTCCAGGGCCTGAGCCCAGGGCCAGGGCCAGGACGGGCAAGGCTGCTCTGCTCTGATGCAGGGGCTCCAGAGCCAGCCCCCAGCCCAGGGTCACTGACTGGGGTGATGGAGCAAGTCCATGGCCGGAACCCAGCAATCCCATAGGAAACCACAATTTACAAATCATTAGACCCATGTTTACTTTTCGAGGTTAGCATTGGCAGTGGGGCAAATTCAGGCAAATTTTCTTCCCGTTCAGGAAGTACCTATCCTCTAAATAGTTGGAGAAGTTTTCTGAGGACCCATAGTGAAGTGAAAATATTAGTCACTCGGTTGTGTCTGACTCTTTGTGTGACCCCATGGACTGTAGCCCACAAGGTTCCTCTGTCCATGGGATTCTTCAGGCAAGAATACTAGAGTGGGTAGCCTGTTCCTTCTCCAGGGGATTTTCCCGACCCAGGGATCGAACCCGGGTCTCCTGCATTGCAGGCAGATTCTTTACCATCTGAGGCACCAGGGAAGGACTACATAACCAACACAAAATTACATTATCCAATTATTGACCAAGTGAGTTAACCAATTACTGATCAAAATGTAGATGCCTACATCTTCACAGAAAGCAAATGTCAATTAATGCCCAACTAAATATGATCTACTTAAGCACTATTATTAAAAATGCACTCTGTCAGATTATTAAAAATAAAAATGCACAAATGTCCATTTAAAACTAGTGTCCTAATTGAAAACAAAAATACATCAAAATTATCATTTTCACTCATAAAATTTATAGTTTTATAATTAAAAGTAGTACATGCACATTAATTTTTAAATGTCAGTCAATTAAATTTAATTTTGAGAAGAGTTAAGCTTATGCATTCTTTTATTACTAACATCATTTTCATATCAGCTTGTTGTATTTCTTGGGCATAATGTCTGATTATCTTAGGTGAATTTGATGGCCAGGTTCACTCTTCCCTTTCGCTCTGTGGGAACACCTTCATGTTATACTCTGGACGGCCGCCCAGGCATGCGAAACCCAGGCTGCTGGTGGCATTTATTTTGCTGTTGTGTGTTGTTTTGGATTTTCACTCTCATATCGTTTGATCAGGACTTAGACCAATCTGATGAGGGCTGACCTATTGACGAGTTATTTTGGCCTTGGAGTCAGGGCTGCTGACAGGCTGAAAACCATCATGTAGGGTGGAAACAATGGTCAGGGTGCCCTTGGTCAGCAGACAGCACCCCCATTGCCCGGGGGGGATGGGGAAGAGGGCTGGGAGGTGCACGCGTGGACAGCACAGGGAGAAGGCCTTCCTTCTCCAAAATCACGTGCTCGATGCAACATAGGCCACCTGGTGTAACCCACACTGATTTTAAAAAAATCCTCTTACAAAACGCGGTAAATTTCCAGCCCCAGAAACTGCCTGTTTACTCTCTCTCCATACCTGGGTGACACTTTAGATTCCTCTAGAAGCTTTTTGAATTCTTCTTTGGCTAGCAGCAATTTGCTTTTCTTCTCCTTGTATTCTTCTTTTATTCTTGTCTTGACAAACTGTTCAAATATCTTAAGACACACACAGAAGAGAACTATTACAAGAGTGCATATCAGAAATGAAATCTCATGCTTCACACCCAACAGGAAAACAGCGAGAATCTGAGATAAGCCTGTCTTTTTCACAGCTGCTGCGGCTACAAGCCAGAGCCTTCCATCATGGTTTCTCCATGACACCAAGTGTCTACACAGTTACACTTGCTCTCCCAAGACACCGGTGCGCTCCAGCTGCAGGTGTGATCTGGGGTCAAACACTGAATCCGCTTGCTGAGAAATCCCTGGAATGACTGAGGGGTGCTCTCTAGAGGCAGTGGGGGCAGAGGACAGTTTGGAAACCCAACCTCAGGGTCTCGGTATTTCTCTTTGGAATGCCTGGAGCTTCCCTTACCATGTGAATTTTCTCACTGACTCTTGCATCCTGGCCAGCAGTACCATGACACACGAGAGTATGCAATTTGTTCTAGCAATCCCCACGGCAACGTAACTGGCATTTGAGTCTCCAAAATGACTTTGAACTTGTGAAAAGCAGGTCAACCCAGCATCTCTCTTCCCCAACTCGAGGCTCCAGAAGCCCCTTATGAATGAGGGTCTGGTTCCCCAGGACTCCTGCAGATGAGGTGAGCCTCTCCTGGGTGTCACGGAAACGCCCAGTGAGGAGACCTGACCCTCGGGCACTGCACTCCCACCCGCTGCTTGATGAGAAGTGGCCCTGCAGGCTCCCTCGACAAGGAAACCTGCCCCTTCACCTAAAGACCATGGACATTATCTGGTAGGCAAATCCATCCACGACCTTGGGGAGGTTTCCCTCAAGAACCAGCAGCGGACATGACACACCACCACCAGGGAATCCCTCTTTGCAGCAGCGCCTAGAGTGAACCTCGCTTGCTTGGATTAAGACCGCTCCCTGCTGTAATATCAGAAAATTGTCAGTTGCAGATGAGGGCCAAAGGAGGTGGACAGAGCTGTGTCATTCCCAGTGGTCTCCAAGCTTCAAGATCATTAAAAGGAGACTACATTAGAGGTCATTTAGATGTGTTGTTCAGTTCAGTTCAGTTTCTCAGTCGTGTCCAACTCTTTGCAATCCCATGAACTGCAGCACGCCAGACCTCCCTGTCTATCACCAACTCCTGGGGTTTATTCAGATTCATGTCCATTGAGTCAGTGATGCCATCCAACCATCTCATCCTCTGTCGTCCCCTTCTCCTGCCTTCAATCTTTCCCAGCATCAGGGTCTTTTCCAATGACTCAGCTCTTCACATTAGGTGGCCAAAATATTGGAGTTTCAGCTTTACATTCAGTCCTTCCAGTGAATATTCAGGACTGATCTCCTTTAGGATGGACTGGTTGGATCTCCTTGCAGTTCAAGGGACTCACAAGAGTCTTCTCCAACACCACACTTCAAAAGCACCAATTCTTCAGTGCTCTGCTTTCTTATTAGTCCAACTCTTACGTCCATACATGACTACTGGAAAAACTATAGTTTTGACTAGACGGACTTTGTTGGCAAAGTAAGGTCTCTGCTTTTGAATATGCTATCTAGGTTGGTCATAGCTTTTCTTCCAAGGAGCAAGCATCTTTTAATTTCACGGCTGAAGTCACCATCTGCAGTGATCCTGGAGCCCCCCAAAATAAAGTCTCTCACTGTTTCCATTGTCTCCCCATCTATTTGCCATGAACTTCCAGATGTTCAAACTGGATTTAGAAAAGGCAGAGGAACCAGAGATCAAATTGCCAATATCCTTTGGATCATCAAAAAAGCAAGAGAGTTCCAGAAAAAAAACATCTACTTTTGTTTTATTGATCACGTGAAAGTGTTTGACTGTGTGGATCACAAAAAACTGTGGAAAATTCTTAAAGAGTACCAGACCATCTGACCTGTCCCCTGAGAAATCTGTATGCAGGTCAAGAAGCAACAGTTAGAACTGGACATGGAACAACAGACTGGTTCCAAATAGGGAAAGGAGTATGTCAGGGTTGCATATTGTCACCCTGCTTATTTAACTTATATGCCGAGTACATCATGCGAAATATCAGGCTGGATGAAGCACAAGCTGGAATCAAGATTGCCGGGAGAAATACCAATAACCTCAGATATGCAGATGACACCACCCTTATGGCAGAAAGTGAAGAAGGACTAAAGAGCCTCTTGATGAAAGTGAAAGAGGAGAATGAAAAAGCTGGCTTAAAACTCAACATTCAGAAAACGAAGATATGGCATCTGGTCCCATCACTTCATGGCAAATGTAGATGCGTATGTGGACATCAATAAAAAAGGTCAGTAAAAGCCCACACTGGGTCCTATTAGGCCAATAAATAGCAATTCTGTGCCAACCCAATCAGTGGCCTTTGCAGATCCTGGAATTTCAATCAAAAGTTCAGGGAGTGTCCTGTGCTCCTCCCAAGGATCCTCCTGAGGACACAGAGCTGGAAGCGGCCACACGGTGGGTCACAGCCCCCGTCGCTCCCCAGGCGGGGTGGGTCTCCTTGGCTCTGTCTGACGGTTTCAGATTCCATTTCAGTCCTGGTAGCCTCTGGGGGACTATAAATCCAAAATGCTTCTCACCTCCAGAAGAATCGTCAGCGAAATCAAATATTCACGAACAGGACTTACACGGAGAGCGAGCATATATATATTTAACTAAAAATACGATTGGCTTATTTCACCTTCAAGGCAAATGGTAATGTAAGCTCTCCAGTTCTCTGATAATTTCAGCCAGTAAAAAAGGTGAATGCAGGGTTATTATCCAAATAAAAGCGTGGGGCTCCATCATTAGTCAGAGTTTTGCTCTATTAATTTTAAATCTGGATAGAAACCCTGGCTGGCAGTGGGGTCAGAGCTGTGAGAAAGACCTGCTTCTCTGCCTGCCTGGAACCATTTATCCCTCTAATCAGATTCTGCTCTCTCCACTGCCTTTGCTCTGGCGCTTTATTTATGCCGCTATAATTTAATGTAACAGGTTTTTTCCCTCCTGTTTAACAAATTACACCAGTCTTATTCAAAGTGGGGCATGACTTTTTAAAAGACAGACCACTGGCCATTATCTTGTCATGGCGTGTTTCAGTGAAATAAGATGGATTGCCGTTTGTTGCCATAGAAACAGTTCTGACGCACGCTCCCCAGGCCCCTGCGCTCGGTTCAGGCCCATTCACCACTCCCCTGCAGCCCCCCGCAGAGGGATGGATGCAGTGAACACACCGCGAGCCTTGGCTTTTCCCACCAAACACTAAGTGATCGTGGGTCCCCCCCCAGAGTCCATGACGGCCGCGTGCCAGCCAGACCCATTCATAAATAGGACCGTGCTTTCTGAATGGGGCCCAGATACTGTCTCCTTCGTCAGCTCAGCTTCAGCTCTGTGCCTCTGAGAAATGGCAGCATTGCCGCTCTGCAGGGAGGTGGGGTTCCTCTGGCGACACCGGGTCCCCTCTGAGGCCCTCTGGTGCCGAAGGACGTCCCCCTCCTCCTCGTGGGGCTCGGGGACCACCCTGCGGGATGAGCACCGCCTGTGTGCAGTGTGGATGTCGGAGGGCCTGAGGTGTGCCCTGGGGATTTCACAAAGATGCCTGCTAGCTCCCCACAAAGGGCGGACTCAGCGTGCGCGGACCGTCCATCTGGCCCGATCTGTCTGCCCCGGGTGCATCCTGCACGCCAGCCCCTCCCGTCAGAGCCGGCCTCTCTGACAGGGGTCGCAGAGGTCAGCGGCCCTGCTGCTCCTGCGGGTGCGGCTCGGGTCGTGACCACCCTCCAGGCTCGAGACGGCAGCAAGAGTCCCCACCCGGCCCGGAGCCCAGTCTGTCCAGCAAGCAAACGGGCCCCGAGCGCCCTGCCTTCTGAGAGACGGGGCCTAAGCAGCAAACCATCAGCGGAGGAGTCTTACTTCTTCAGCTGCCTTGAAGGGGCTGACGGCCTCTGGAAACACCCATGGACTAAAGGCAACAGCGCTGACCTCGATGGCCAGTGAGACACCATGGGCAGCTGCGCTGAGCGTCATCCCTTATGGTTTAAAGTGATCCTGCCACCAAAATAAGCAAGCTTCTCAGCGTATGTGGTCATGGTTGGAGGGCGAACTTCCTGACTTCTAATACTGCAACAAAAGTGTGCGATGTTGCCAATGATTAAAGTCGCCCAGTTTCCTCGGCTTGAGGGGAAAGTAGGTACAAAACGTCCAGACTCCGAGTAAGGCCCTGCCCGAGCGCCTTGTCCTGAGCCCCTGGTTGCACCCTGAGGGAACTTCATGGGCTGACGACAGAATTGAAAATAAAGCCGCACATTCTGTCCTTCCGGCTCCAGCTTTCCAGGACCCCACCGTCTGAAATCAGACAGATGCTTCCAGGACCATGATGCCAGCGCCCTCCCCTGAGACGACCTTTGAGGGGCTTCTGCTCCCAGGGGTGGCTCCCAGTCACCCACTCTCCACATGCATCCCCTCTGCTCTCTGAAGTTGGGGGGAGAAGCCCGGTTGGGATGGAACCAGAGAAGCAGAAGCAGAACTGGAATCCTTCTGGAACTTCTCTCAGGGCCCTCCTTGGGAGTGCTCCGGGAGCCACACACGTCAGCGGGGCTGTGAGAACCCAGGCCTCCCCACCAGTCCACACAGCTGTCCGTCTGTCTGTCTAATCCTGGAAGCGGATCTGGCTGCCTGATGGGACTGGTCAACACGCCAGGGTAGACCTCTTTCAAGTATCCATTTAAAAGGACCTCCAGGCCTGCAACCCCTTCTTGCCTTTCTGGGGATCTGCTTTCTAGAAACGTCCATCCTTTACTTCTGCTCCTACGTTCCCTGGACCTCTCCTACGTCACTGATCTTATACTGGACCTTAAGTCTTTTCAATAGTCATTGAGGACATGGTTCATGCTCCCCCAGATTGAGTTTTCACCTTCGAATATGAGTGTCTTTGGGGGTCGTGACCAGACAGTTCACCAAGAGCAGGAACCAGGGTAACCCCCTCTGCCCTCAGGGCACTTTCCCCTCACAGCCCACAGGCAAGCACTCAACCTCACAGCTTCCCCACGGACACGGCGAAGACACCAGGCAGCCATCGTCCTCATAAACCTCTGGACGGAGCATCACTTAAACGCCACGTCTCTCGAGTCTGTCAGCGTGCCTCCCACAACCTTACCTGTTTCCGCTCCTCCGAGTTCAGCAGGAGATAGCGTGGATCAAACACAATTTTATGTAATTCTTTCTCCCAGGTAGAAAACGCTGACACCTGAAGAAAGATATTCAGCAGAGTTGCTTTTAACATCTAATGCTGAGCCTGAGTCACACTGAACTAACTGGTCGATGGTGAGAAACAGCCCTAAGGAACCACGGGTTTGGGGACGCAGCGATGTTTAAAAGTGTTTGACTTAAAAAAAAAGTGTTTGACTTGTCAAACTTTAAGAAAATCAATTTTTCGAGCATAAGAAAATTTAATTTCTAGACTCATGACACTATGTCTACCCTGGATACCTTCCAGGGCCAAGTGCCCTGATCTAAAGCCCTGATTGTATCTGTGAGTCTGAGACATTTGCAAATGTCCTATCTGGAGAGGAGAAATTATGCTTGTAAGAATCTTCAGGATGGCACAGGCCTTGACAGAGGGCACCATCTTGCAATTAGAATTTGGCACAATTTTAATTGATTTTTAATCAACATTTAAACCTTTTTCAGGTAGGGAACTTTTTAACCAAACTACCTTATAATAGTTTAGATTTACACAAAACTTGGAAGAATACTGTGAAGCTACCGTCTAGCCCACACGCGGTTTCCTATATCGCTAACATCTTAACGCTGGTGTGCTAAATGGATCCTCACTACTAGTAACAAGAGTCTACACCTTACTCAGTTACTTTAGTCTTTGCCTAATTATTTTTCTGTCCTGGGATCCCACCCAGGACAAACACCACGTGTAATCTCACAGCTCCTCCGGCTCTTAGGGGCGATACAGCTCCTCACTCTCCTTGGCCTGGATGACCTTGACAGTTCTGGGGAGAGCTGGTCAGGTGTTCCATGAGATGTCCCTCTGCTGGGTTTTGTCCCAGTTTTTCTCCCGTTCCACTGGGGCTGTGGGTTTGGGGAGGAAGACCCCAGAGTAACGTGTCTTTCCTACCAAGGTCCGTACTGTCAATGTGACGTTTCACAGCTGGTGCTGACCTTGATCACCTGGCCGAGGTCTTTCTTCTCTGCATTTATGCTTTTTCCCTACATTGTGCTGTCCTCTGTGGAGGGAAGTCTCTATGTGCTTGTTCTGTTTTTCTTTAGTTGCTCAGTCGTGTCTGGCTCTTTGTGACCCTGTGGACTACAGCACACCAGTCTTCCCTGTCCTCCCTATTTCCCAGAGTTTGCTTAAACTCGTGTCCGTTGAGTTGATGATGCCACTTGAGGGGCCTGTTCCACCTCCTGGTATGGAAGAATCTGTGTAAGTTCCTTGGAATCCTTCTGGATGGGGTATTTGTCTGTTCTCCCACATTTACTTATTAGTTCAATCAACTGTTTATGTCAGTATAAACTCATATTTATTTCATACTTTGGGTTGTAATCTGACGGCTGACTTGTGCTCAGATTGCTCCAGGTTTGGCTGTTGTGGTTGCCGCCTGTGTCCCGGGGACGTATCCCCATTTTTCTGTTTTCTGGGCCCTTGAAGATGCTCCAGGATCATCTATCTCTCCTGCGGTGGCCCAAGAATCAGCATTCTCTGAGAAGCCCTGGTCCCTCTTATCGGAGAAGATGTTGGGACCTGAGACCCAGCTGAGCTCCTTGCTGTTGGGAGGTTGCCACTTCCAGACTCTCAGCTGATGGGGCAGTGAAACCTTTAAGTCATCCAAAAATAATTTTTTCATTTAAAAACACTGGGTAAATATTGGCTATGTCTTAGGCCCCTTGCTGGGTGCTGTGGATTCAGAGAAGATAAATCAAGGCCACTGACCTTGAGAGCTTGGTGGGAAGTGAGACAGAAAGAGAATTCAGGATCTTCCAGGGGCATGAGTGTCCTTCCAGAGATATGCCCAGGTGCAAAGGGCACGGAGAACGGCCCCCATCTGCCTGGGGGGGAAACTGTCTCCAGAGCGGATGGTGTCGGGACCTGTCCCATGGAGGGGCCTGAGAGGGTGTTCAGCGGGGACTGTCCATGGCGTGGAGGCCAGGCTCCGGGAACTGGGGGCATGTGGGGGCCACAGGGGGCTATAGGACTGTGCAGAGCTGGGAAGAAGCAGGAGAGACGGCCTGAGCGGATGTGGGGACACTCCGCGGCCTCGGGAACCAGGGGCTTGTCCTGAGAGCAACAGGAAGAGCCAGATGCGATGTGTGCCCAGGGGCCCAGGCGGGGGATGGACTCAGCGCAGTGGGGAGGAGAAGCTGATGGGTAGTTTCCATAAACAAGGCCCACCCGCTCCTAGTCCTGAGCAGGTTACAGTATGGCTGGTAGAGATACTACTTCCATAGACATGGGCTTTGCTTGGAACGGGCTTCCCTTGTGGCTCAGCTGGTACAGAATCTGCCTGCAATGTGGGAGACTCCAGTTTGATTCCTGGGTTGGGAAGATCTCCTGGAGAAGGGATAGGCTACCCACTCCAGTATTCTTGGGCTTCCTTTTGCCCCAGCTACTAAAGAATCTGCCCCCAATGTGGGAGACATGGGTTTGATACCTGGGTTGCGAAGGTCTCCTGGAGAAGGGAAAGGCTACCCACTCCAGTATTCTGGCCTGGAGAAGTCCATGAACTGTATATCCATAGGGTCGCAGATTCGGACATGCCTGAGCAACTTTCACTTGCTTGGAACATTATAAGGATTTTCTAAATTGACCGTTTCTGTATTCAGTAATAAAAATCAAAATTCTTTTTAAAACTCATGAGCTCTTTTATGGGGCAGGGTGAGCCAAGCTCCACCTGGGGATCTTTCTCAATTGATTAAGAACATGGTGAGGTGTTGACACATCATGGAGGGGTGGGGGTGGGGAGGATTCCGGAAGAACATCAGGGCAGAACAGTCCCTCTATTCGGCCAGAGCTGATGCCTGACCACGTGAGCATTGGGGTGGACATGGAGAGAAGGGATGGTCGGCTTCAACACAGCCCAATCAGATGGGCGTTGGTCCATCACATAGAGCCCTGAAAAGCCCTGCAAGGTCCCAGCTCTGTACGAAAGGCAGGCGATTAGTAAGAACTGGTGTCACATATCTGATTCCACCAGTGTGATAATTTTAGGAGTTCTAGATGTTTAACAAACTAAATTAAAAAAATAGCATATCATTCTTGGCTCCAAAGGAAATTACAATCTGTATACGAGGCAAGGAGATCCAACCAGTCCATCCTAGAGGAGATCAGTCCCGGGTGTTCATTGGAAGGACTGATGCTTAAGCTGAAGCTCCCAATACTTTGGCCACCTGATGCGAAGAGCCAACTCCTTGGAAAAGACCCTGATGCTGGGAAAGATTGAGGACAGAAGGAGAAGGGGGCAACAGTGGATGAGATGCTTGGATGGCATCACCGACTCAAAGGACATAAACTTGGGCAAACTCTGGGAGATAGTGAGGGACAGGGAGGCCTGGTGTGCTGCAGTCCATGGGGTCACAGAGTCGGACACGACTTAGTCAGATATGAGTGAGCAACTGAACGACGTACGAGGCAGGAAGAGTCATTTTCACAGTGACTGTAACTTGTGATGGTATACAGACATCGTCACATAACCTGACAGCCAGGCTAACACGTGCTCTCAACGTGCGGAGGAGGGTGCAGTGCCAGGCGGAGGGGCAGCCCGGCCATGGGGCCCGGGACCGAGGCTGGAGCCAACGGGGGTCTGGAGTCAAGTGTGAAACAGGGTCTGACAGCGCCTGCAGCGGGCACGGCCTTGTCACCGGACCGACTCTTCCCAGAGGACCCTGATGACTGCTGCTGCCTCAACCGTGAGACTCGCTCCTGACGGAAGACCAGCCTGCCCAGGCCTGCATCCCTGCAGTCACGTCCTGGTAGGCTCATCCTGGGGGGCAGGGCCAAGGCCTCCCCTTTCTTGCTAGAGGCCAGTGGGGAGCTGTTCTCCACTCCCAGGGGTCCCTGAATTCCCTGCCGTGGCCCCTCTGCAATAGGATGGCTTCCTCAAAACCGGTGGGAGAACCTCTACATATGAGACCCCATCTTACATACTATCACACCATCACAGGGAAATGCCTCCATCGTATTTGCAGGCCAGCCCCCCTTCAAGCGAGGGGGTCACTCAGGATGGGCGCCCCGGGGTCGGAGTCCTGGGACCACTGTCGGGATGTGCCCCCGCAGCAGGTCCCTGCGACGAACGCACCCTCTCGCCTCCAACGTGGCCTTCATTCTCAACCTTGATCTTCATCCCTCATCTGCATAACAGACCTTCCTTTGATACTCTGGCATTTTACATGTGCTTTGGTCCTGGGTAGTGGGATTCATCAGCCCATTTTAGACCCTTTCCTGTAGAAATCCAGTCCTTCCCTGCAGCCTGGCTGGGTCTGAGGCATTTCCATATCCCGTCCTGGGCTATGTTCTGTGATCTTCATGTCATCTCCTGAGAGTTGGCAACATATTCCCAAAAGCATCTGAACCGAGTGGGTGCTGACACAGGGTGGCACCCTGCCACGGGCGAAGGTCGGTGCTCCATTGTGATGCGAGGCCATGTGGACACAGCCCACGCCGGCAGGTTAGGGCTCTGGCGAGCGCTCACACACATCTTTATTTGACCTCCCCCTGGAGCCCCATCCTGGAGTATCGCCATCGTTTGGGAACCAGGAGAGCTCAGGCAGTGGGTCCCCTGGGCTGTGCTGGGGGCCAGGCCCTTCCTTCCTCCCAGCCTCCTGCCGGCAGACGCCCACCCCCGCCCCCGACTCTTCCCTGGGGTCTGAACTGTGCTCCCTGCCATTTCGACAAGGGCCAACAGCAGAACTTGCCGTTCAGACAGGCACAGAGAAGGAGCAGCCGCGTGCACCCGGCCGGGGCGCAGTCCCCAAGCTAAGACCGTTGCTGCCGCATCATGGAACAGGGTCCTCCCCATCGGGGTCGGGGCCACCGCCCCCTGGCCAGCAGGGGTGCCTCCTGGCTCTCCACCTCCAGCCCCCAGCCTGGTCCCGACACCACCCGCTCCGTCAGCGGCGCCCTGCAGGGCTGCCCCCGCTCCCCACACAGCCTCCCGGCCCTGACGCTGAAGGTCGGTGTGAACACGCGCCCCGCCCGCCCCGCTTCCTGCCCTCTGGGCCCCTGCTCCGTCCTCCTTG